CACCATCTTGGCTAGGCTGGTCTTGAACTCCTGACCTCCTGATCCACCCACCTCGGGCTCCCAAAGTGCCTGGGATTACAGGCGTAAGCCACTGCACCAGGCCAGTGCCATATATATATATATAATTTAATATTTAAAAAACTGTCTGAATGTGATGGTTCATGCCTGTAATCCTAGCATTTTGGGATTGAGCCGTAGAGTTTGAGACCAGCCTGGGCTACATAATGAGGCTTCATCTCTACAATATAATAACAAATTAGCTGAATATGGTGGCACATGTCAGTGGTCCTAGCTACTCAGAAGGCTGAGGTACTAAGTTGCTCGAGCCTAGATTCCTGAGGCTGCAGTGAGCTGCAATCATGTCACTGCACTCCAGTCTGGATAACAGAGAGAGGCTCTCTCAAGAAGAAGAAAGGAAAGAAAGAAAAAGACAATAAAAAATAATAAATATTTAATGTTTGTAATGTTTCCTGCTCAAAGGACCAGAAGCTAAGAAGGTCATAGGAGCTGAAATTTTAAAATAATTATTCGTTTCATTTTTTAGTAGCCATATAGTGTATTATTTATAAATGCGTATGACCTTATACACAAGATTAAAGGCAAATACCCTCTGGGGTTGGCCTGGCTCAGCTCTGGGAGAAAGCCCTGCCAGAAAACGCTGCAGCCTAGGCTGTAGCTCTCCATTCGCTCAGCGTCTGATCACATCTTCTGTCACTCAGGGTTTGAGGGGGCAGGACGTTAGACGTTATCCAATCAGGGGCGCTGGGCTGGAAACCGTCCAATCAGGCACGCAGCTGGAGCGGACAGGGCGGCTTCCGGGATGTGGCGGGGCCTTTGTCTCTCCCGGCAGCCGGAGCTCCAGGTCTCGTCTTCACTTCTCTATTTTCTCTGCTCTTAGAGGTACGGCCTTTGTGGGCCTGTGAGCTGCAGGTATTGGGAAATCCACAGCTAAGACACCAGGACCCTCTGGAAGCCTAGAAATGGTGAGATTACCGGGTCGACATCCCGAGAGAGGGGAAGAGGCTGGTTGGAACCGGTGCGAAGTGGCCGTGGCGGACTCAGGCCTCCCAGCAATCAGCTCCACAATCTGCCCCCCGAGTTCTTGCCGAGCTCGGCCTCAGTCCCCTTCAGCCATAAGATGGCGGCTGCGCTGACAGCTGGGCCCCCGGGCGTCCTGTCTCTTCCCTGCGTAGTGACTGTGCCCTGGCCTGGAGCCCTCTCTGGGCAGCTCTGTACTCGCAGCACCGCGTCTCTCACATTGTGCAGGGACCATGGGAGGGGCGTCAGGGGAGAATCCTGACTCGGGGTGCGGGTTGATGAACGAGAAGAGCGTTGGTCCCTGGCGTTTCCAGTCCCGCTTTTCGTCTATTAGAAACTTATGAGAGTTGGCCAGGCGCGGTGACTCACGCCTGTAATCCCACCACTTTGGAAGGCCGAGGCGGGCAGATCACTTGAGGTCAGGAGTTCGAGACCAGCCTGGCCAATAATACAAAAATTACCCGGGCATGGTGGTGCGCACCTGTAGTCCCAGCTACTCGGGAGGCTGAGACAGGAGTATAGCTTGAACCCAGGAGGCTGAGGTAGTGAGCCGAGATTGTGCCATTGCCCTCCATCCTGGGCGTCGCAGCGAAACTCTTGTCTCAAAAAAAAGAAAAGAAAAGAAATTTATGAGAAAATATTAAAGATTTTATATATGATTACACTTGATAATTACACAAAAATATTAAAAAATTTAATCAAAGAGCAATTTAAGAATTGTGGAACACCCAGCTATGGTTTGTAGTTTGTGGTCCCTGGGGAATGAAGGAAAGACATTTGCTTGTTTAAGACGGAGTCTCGCTCTGTCACCCAGGCTGGAGTGCAATGGCGCGATCCTGGCTCACTGCAATCTCCCTCTTCGGGGTTCAAGCTATTCTGCCTCAGCCTCCCAAGTAGCTGGGACTACAGGAGCGCACCACCACACCCAGCAAATTTTTTCTATTTTAGTTGAGGTGGGGTTTCACCATGTTGCCCGGACTGTTCTCGAACTTTTGAGCTCCGGCAATTCACCCGCCTCGGCTTCCCAAAATGATAGGATTACAGGTTGAGCCACCGCGCCCTGCCAGGAAAGACTTTTATAAGGTGCAGGATGGAGAAAACCAAATTCAGTAATTTGTTAGGTATAGTTTTTTAAATTTGTACGATTAAGGTGGAAATTTCCTGGTTATGTAATCAGGTAAATTGGCATTTTATAGTTGGTTAAGCCTGAATTTTGTTTTCCCCAGTATAGTATTTTATAAAGTATTTGACTTAGTGTTTTTGTTTTTGTTTTGACGGAGCCTCACTCCGTCTCCTAGGCTGGAGTGCAATGGCGTGATCTCGGCTCACTGCAACCTCTACCTCCCTGGCTCAAGCGCTTCTTTTGCTGTAGCCACTCGAGTAGCTGGAACTATAGGCGCCTACCACCACGCCCGACTAATTTATTTATTTATTAATTAAATTTTATTATTTATTTTTCTTTGTGACACGGTTTCACTCTTTTCACCCAGGCTGTAGTGCAATGGCGCGATCTCAGCTCACTGCAACCTCTGCCTTCCTGGTTCAAGAGATTCTTTTGCTTTAGCCACTTGAGTAGCTGGAACTATAGGCACCTACTACCACAGCCAGCTAATTTTTTTTTTTTTTTTTTTTTTAATGTGACAGAGTTTTGCTCTTTTCTTTTTTCTTTATTTATTTTTTATTTTTTTAAAAGATGGGGTTTCTCCATGTTGGCCAGGCTGGTCTTGAACTTCTGACCTCAGGTGATCCACCCACTTCGGCCTCCCAAAGTGCTAGGATTACAGGCGTGAGCCACCGCGCCCAGCCAGTTTTGCTCTTTTCACCCAGGCTGTGATGCAATGGTGCGATCTCAGCTCACTGCAACCTCCGCCTTCTGGGTTTAAGCGATTCTCCTGCCTCAGCCTCCAGAGTAGCTGGGATTACAGGCATGCTCCACCATTCCCGGCTAATTTTTGTATTTTTAATAGAGATGGGGTTTCACTATGTTAGTCAGGTTGTTCTGGAACTCCTGACCTCAAGTGATCCGCGGGGCCTCAGCCTCTGAAAGTGCTGGGATTACAGGTGTGAACCACCACACCTGGCCTAATTTTTGTATTTTTATTAGAGACTAGGTTTTTCCATGTTGGCCAGACTGGTCTTGAATCCTAACCTCAGGTGATCCACCCACCTCAGCTACCATGGCTGGCTTCTCTTTTTCTTTTGTTTTCCCTAGGCGGAGAGACTTTTTCAGGATATTTTTAGGTAAAATTTTTCCTTAGGAAAATTTGTGGGGTGATGTGCCCTCAGCCACACTTCATTTTTTTTTTTTTTTTTTTTTTGTGGTCCTGAGTTTTAGTACTGTCTGGGGATAAACCAAGATTAACAGCCATGGCTATGTGTGCTGCAGTGTCTACTGAATATCAGCTTCTACATCATTTTTTCCTATAGGACAACCTGAGGTTTGGAGTGTAGCCTCTCAAGGGAGCAGGCAGATTCCCTGAGGCTGAGTGTATCTCCTGGGGGACTCTTCCATTGAAAAGCAAACCCTTTGAGACATTCAGATAGTCTTCACACAAGTCAGCTTAGCTTCCATTTCATGGAAAGACATCACTAGTTGGCCAATCAGATGCTGATATTGAGGGGAAAACACAGAAATAATTTCTGCCCCCTGGCTTCTCTAAGATTTGTGAAAGTGAAAATAGTATCTCAAAAACAAAACAAAAGGCCTGACCCCAGTGAGATGGTGCAAGAAGTTGCAAAGTAAAATGCACCTTGGCAGTCACTGAGGCATAGTGCGATGTCTCCTGAGAGGGTTGTCATTGCGCACTTGAGTGAGCAGAAGTGGGTGGGAGAATCTCTCAAGTGATTGGATGCCCTGAGTTGACACATGAGTCAGACACATCTGTTTTCTAATCAGCACTGCCAGTCTCTCGGTTTGTCACCTTGAAAAAATGTGTGCACTTATTTTAACTTCAGTTTTTGTTGTTGTTGTTGTTGTTGTTAAGACAGAGTCTTGCTGTTGCCCAGGGTGGAGTGCAGCGGCATGATCTTGGCTCACTGAAACCTTCGCCTCCCGGGTTCAAGTGATTCTCCTGCCTCAGCCTCCCGTGTAGCTGGGACTATAGGCACGTGCCACCATGCCGGGCTAATTTCTGTATTTTTAGTAGAGATGGGATTTCACCGTGTTCGCCAGGATGTTCTCGAACTCCTGACCTCGTGATCCACCTGCCTCAGCCTCCCAAAGTGCTAGGGTTACAGGCCTGAGCCACTGCGCCCAGGCTTCAGTTTTTTAATTGCATTTTTTTAGTAGGATATAAAAGGTGAGAAAATATTTACAAAGAGCATAAAAGAGGTGGGTTTCAGAAAAAAAAATACCTAATTATATATTCCATTTGTTAAGAATTCTTGGCTGGGCGCGGTGGCTCACGCCTGTAATCCTAGCAGTTTGGGAGGCCAAGGTGGGTGGTTCACCTGAGGTCAGGAGTTCAAGACCAGCCTGGCCATCATGGTGAAACCCCGTCTTAAAAAAAAAAAAGAATTCTCATTTACCTTTTTATTTCCCAAAATGGGTTTAGGAATCTTCTCAGATGTCTTTTATGGCTAGGTGATTTTCAATAGATTGCCAAGGCTTAGCTTTTAGAATGCTACCAAGGAAAAGAATAGGGAAAATCTCTCTTACTTTGGCTGTAGAAAATGAACATTTCCGCCGGGCGCGGTGGCTCACGCCTGTAATCCTAGCACTTTGGGAGGCCGAGGCGGGTGGATCACGAGGTCAAGAGATCGAGACCATCCTGGTCAACATGGTGAAACCCCGTCTCTACTAAAAATACAAAAAATCAGCTGAGCATAG